CTTCTGCGCGGTGATCAATTGGTGGTACTAGTTCAAGTTTTTCCCTATCCTCTTCAGACTGGGAGACAGACTCAGATGAAGTGACATATGTGCCAGGATTTTTGCGTTGGGGATGATGTGATGTCAGACCTATAGCTTCAGCCTGTATTTTTCCTCTTGTGGTGGGTGCTTTAGATTCTTGGGTTTTCTTTGGTGCCATTCCTGCCAATGGAAGTGAAGTGAGCATGTGGTAGGACATTCATAGAACATGGAAAAGAAATGAAGGGAAAACACATTCTGTAGACAGCTTATGCGATCGCAGAACAAATTTGCGAACCGCGAAATCCACCGCAGAATGTACAATGCTATGGTCAACAAATTATGCATACCACAGAAGTGGTCGCAGAACTAATTTGCGATCGCATAATGAATGCAGATTCAAATTCAAAATACTCATGAACCTATTAACATCTATGATGAATTCGTGGTCCACATACCAGTTTCGCGACTGCAGAATCCACCGGAGATTCACCACCCTACAAGCATATAATTTTCCTTAGATATGCGATGATTCTGCGTATCGCGAATCAGTTATGCGGTGCCGTAGAAGTCATCTTCTTCACTTATATACAACACACAGGAAACCACTGGACATTAATTCTACCTATACTATATAGACACGACAGGATTTCAGAAAATGTACACACAACAACCAGCATATTATCAATTTCAAGTTCTACCCATGAACACCTAACAAGACATTAATTTTGACTAGCAATTGTCCCCCCCCCCCCAACCGATCACCCATCACACGACAACATTGAGAATAAATCCTAGCAAGAGGTTCTCAGTAAATCACAAAGAACAGGAAGGAATAATAGGGATTATGGGTTGGGGGAAATTTTTGTAAGTAAATACAAAATCAACAAGAGTAGAGGGGGGAGAATTTCTTTCCAGAATTGTTGATGAGAGTGGAACCTTGGTGATTGTACACTGGTGGAAACACGTTATTAGCATGGATTGTATTTTGTTCAAGATTTTGTTTGTCTTTTATTTTCTTCTATTTTCTTTCGTTCAGAATTAGAGTGTGGGAGTCAGAAGTGGGAAAGTGACAGGGGGGGGGTTTAATACATGTGCATTCTATGGTACGTTTACCATCGTGAAACAACATTCGAGGTCGCATAAGCATTATGCGATGATATATTACCTGGGATGCGTGTGGCCAATGTGCAGTCGCATCTGCGGTCACAAAACCATTATGCGATCCGCAAAATTTGGCCTTCCACCACATTTTGAGTGACTTGGTTTTATGAAGGTCTAATTATATCTGCGGCCAGTATGCTGTCCGCGAAACCATTATGCGGTCGCATTTGTGGCTGCAGAAAGACATCTGAAGCTCAGTTAACTTTTCTTCACTTTCCCTTTGCCTCTGCATCCCATTTCTTTGCATTTTGAGCACCCTGTACTCTAAAACACACACATCAAAATGTTCAACAAAGACAAATAAACCTACAATGAAACAAATCTAACCAAAAATATTTCCACACATGGGTTTCCTCCCAAAAAGGGCTTGATTTAACATTGTGGCATGACGATGTTATCCCTTTTTGGCTAATCTGTTGTGGAGGTTAGTACATGACCATCTTTGAGTTTGAATTATTCCACCAGCTGCCTTCTCCAATGGTTCCAAGGTAGTGCTTCACCCTTTGACCATCTACTTTGAAGGTTCGAGTCCCATCCTTGAACTCTAATTCAACGGTGCCATAAGGAAACACTCTAACAATTTTGAATGGGCCAGACCATTTGGACTTGCGTTTTCCCAAAAAGAACATCAACCTTGAGTTGAAGAGCAAGACCAAGTCGCTGGATTTGAATTTCTGCATCAAGATCTTCGTATTATGAACAAACTTCATCCTTTCTTTATACATGGCTACATTCTCATAGGCTGTGAAACGGAACTCATCCATCTCATTGAGTTGTGTCATCCTTAGATTAGCAGCTTCGGCCAAGTCAATATTTAACTTTTTCAACACCCAAATGGCTTTGTGTTCTAGCTCCACTATAAAGTGACATGCCTTACCAAAAACCAACCAGTAAGGCGAGGTTCCAATGGGTGTTTTGAATGCGGTTCGATAAGCCCACAGAGTGTCATCTAGGTTTATTGACCAATTAATCCTATTTGCATTAATAGTTTTTGCTAGAATGTTCTTGATTTCTCGGTTGGAGACTTCAACTTGACCACTTGATTGAGGATGATAAGGGGTAGCCACTTGTTCTTAACTCCATATTTCTCGAGCAACCCCGCAAAGGCTTTGTTGCAAAAGTGAGAACCACCATCACAAAGGATGGCCCTTGGGGTTCCAAACTGAGTAAATATGTTCTTCTTCAAGAAGGCGATTACACTCCTTGCCTCATTGTTTTTCAAGGCAACTGCTTCGACCCATTTTGAAATATAGTCCACTGCTACCAAGATATAAGTCATGCCATATAAGCTCACAAAGGGACCCATGAAAATGATCCCCCACATCATAGATCTCTACCTCTATCACAAATGTCATAGGCATCTCATGCCTTCATGAAATTGACCCTTGCCTTGACATTGATCACATTCATTGACCATTAGATTTGCATCTTGGTATATCGATGGCCAATAGTACCCACATTCAAGCACTTTCATCATCGTACGGTTTCCACCGTGGTGACCCCAACTGGAGAGTCATGACATGCTTTGAGAATTGGCATCAACTCATCTTCTAGAACACAACACCGAATGATGTTTTCTGCGCATATCCAGAAAAAAGGGTTCCTCCCAATAGTATTACCTACAATCACTCAAGAACTCTTTCCTTTGATAAGCTTCCTATTCGTTGGGGATAAGGACACTAACCAAGAAGTTAACTATATCAGCATACCAAGGAGTTGAAGTGGTAGATATTGCCAAAAGTTGTTCATCTGGGAAGGCGTCATTAATTTCAAGATCTCCATTTGGTCTCCCTACCTCTTCAAGCCTAGATGAGTGATTCGCGACTTGATTTTCCGTTCCTTTCTGGTCCTTGACTTCATAGTCAAATTCTTGTAAATAAATGACCCACCTAATCAATCTTGGTTTGGCATCCTTCTTCGCCATAAAGTAGCTGAGAGCAGTATGATAGGTAAAGACTATCACATTGGATCCCAACAAATAGGCCCAGAATTTTTCAAAAGCATAGATAATGGCAAGCCGTTCTTGCTCAGTCATAGTGTAATTCATTTGCGTGCCATTGAGTTTATTGCTTGCATAGTAGACAGGGTGAAGAATCTTGTTGTGCCTTTGACCAAGCACTGCCTCAATAGCCACACAACTGGCATCACACATAAGTTTAAATGGAAGAGACCAATCAGGTGTGAATATAATGGGTGTCGTGGTGAGCCTTGCTTTCAATTCCTCAAAAGCTTTGAGGCGCTGCTCATCAAAAACAAATTTAGCATCCTTTTCAAGGATCTTGCACATGGGGCTTGCAATCTTTGAGAAGTCTTTGATAAATTGCCGATAGAAACCGGCATGCCCCATAAAGCTCTGAACACCTTTGACCGATGTGGGAGGAGAAGCTTGGAAATTACTTCAATTTTTGCTCGATCAACCTCTATGTCTTGCTTGGAGATTTTGTGGCCAAGAACAATACCTTCGTCCACCATGAAGTGACATTTTCCCCAATTGAGAACAAGGTTGGACTCCTCGCATCTTTTGAGTACTTACGTAAGATTATCAAGGCAATGTTCAAAGGAATCACCAAATACTGAGAAGTCTTCCATGAATACCTCCAAGTAATCCTCCACCATGTCTGAGAAAATCGACATCATGCACCATTGAAAGGTGGTCAGGGCATTGCATAACCCAAATGGCATTCGTCTAAAAGCAAAGGTCCCATAAGGACAAGTGAATGCCGTCTTCTCTTGGTCTTCCAAGGCTATGATGATTTGGTTGTAGCCGGAGTAACTATCCAAGAAGCAATAAAATGACCTTCCCGCTGGCCGATCAAGCATTTGATCAATAAAAGGCATAGGGAAATGGTCTTTGCAAGTAGCTCTATTGAGCTTCCGGTAGTCCATGCAAACTCTCCACCCGGTTACCGTCCTTGTTGGAATGAGTTCATTTTTGTCATTTTGAATCACGGTCATGCCTCCCTTATTTGGCACACATTGCACCGGACTCACCCAAGGACTATCTGCAATGGGGTAAATAACCCTAGCGTCCAACCATTATATAATTTTCTTCTTCACCACTTCATTCATGGAGGGATTCAACCTCCTTTAATGCTCCACACTAGGTTTACTGTCTTCCTCGAATTGGATTTTGTGCTCACAAATACCGGCGGGAATTCCTCGGATATCCGCTATTGTCCAACCAATGGCCTGTCTATGCTCCCTCAAGGTCTCCAATAATTGTTCAACTTGCACATCATTTAACAAAGAGGAAACAATTACGGGTAGAGTTTCATTAGAGCCAAGAAATTTATACCTTAGGTATGGTGGTAGTGGCTTGAGTTCAAGCTGTGGAAGCTCAACAATTAAAGGCTTGGGGCAGGAAGAGTGGTTCTATTCTCCAAGTCAAGAAAAATCTTCTTTGGTGCATAAGTGTATGAACCAAACCCTTCCAATACGTTCACCGTCTCCACATATCCTTATACGTCTTCACCATCAAAATTCATCAAGATCGTCACCAATGCCTCACCAAGGCATTCCTATTCCATCTTTACCTCAACGGTATATTCTACCACATCAGTAACATCAAGTACTGAGATACTCTCATATGCATTTGGCAATTTCATGCCCTTACTTGCTTGAAAGGTAACTTCTTCATCATTAACCCGTAATTTAATATAATTTATTTTCGAGTCCATGAGTGCTCTCCCGGTTGTAGGGAATGATCTCCCTAAGATGATAGGGATCTCTTTTTCAACTGCAAAATCAAGAATAACGAAGTTGGTAGGGAGGAAGAACTTCCCCGCCTTCAGAAGCACATCATCCACTATCCCCATCGGTCACTTCACCAAATGGTTAGCCATTTGCAATCTCATACTCGTGGGCCTAGGCATTCCTAAAACCGCTTGCTTGTGGATACCAAGAGGCATTAAGTTGATGCTATCCCCATTATCATAAAAATCTCGTGCAAAGTCACGCAATCTAATAGTGCATGGAATGGTGAAAGCCCCCAGATCCTCTTTCTTTTGGACAGAGGTTGTTGAAATGATAGAGCTAATCTGGTAGGTGACACTCACCGTTTCATTCTTGATGGTCTGCTTTTTTGTGATCAAATACTTCAAGTATTTATCAAAACCAGGTATCTCTTGAAACACTTCCACAAACGGAATGTTCACCGATAATTGCTTTAAGATATCATAGAACTTCTCTAATTTGCTATCATCAACTCTTTGGGATAGTCATTGAGGAAATGGAGGGGGATGTCTAGGAATCGGTGCTAGAGGTTTTGGTGCCCCTATTACTTTTTCCTCAACCTTTTCATGGCTCACATCTCTAGCTTTCACCTTCTACGAAATTCTCTCAACGTCAACAACATTAGGCACCACAACTTTTGCCTCATCTTCTTGTTCAAAATCTTCCACTTCGACCACCCATTCACTCTCACTTTAAAGTAGTTTCCCACTTCGAGTTGTAATGGCCATACAATGAGAGATTGGGTCACCCCCACTACTCTTTGGGTTCGCAATTGTATTACTTGGGAGTGTGCTTTTTTGTTTTGGGGTTTGTTCTCTTGAGAGATCCCTCATTTGCATCTCCAACTTTTGAATAGATGCGGTGTGAGAACCCACAATCTCGATCATGTTTTTCATTAAAGTATCAGTCCTCTCTTGATTTTGCAATACTCTTTCAAGCATGTTCTCCAATTTGGAATCTCTTGAAGAACTCTCCTTCCAATGTTGAGAGTTAGAGTATTGCCCCTTCGATGGAACATAGGGGTTTGAACTCCAATTTGCAAAATTGTTGTTGTTGTTGTTGCTCCAATTTTCTTGATTAGAACTACCTTGGTCATTTCGCCATTATTGGTTACGTTGCTCTTGCGGGTTAGGTCTCCATTGATGTTGTTGTCCTGACCCTTGGTAGTTTTGTCTTTGATATCCTCCTTGTGAATTGTTAACATAGTTTGCTTCTTCGTATTGCATTGAAGGATAATCTTGTTGTTGGCCTTCTTGATGTTGATAATTGGAATTTGACATTGGTTGCACTTCTTCCACAACATTCACTCTCTTTGTTTGGCTTTTCATAAACATTTTTGTCAAAACATTGACATTGGTAGCAAGCCTGGCAACCAATTGATCTCATTCTTGATTCTCCTTGACAATGTTGGTCAAAGAAGGGGTACCATACGAGACTCCACCCGCGGTGTCATCCAAATGCCAAGCTTGGTTGTGTTCGACTACCTTGTCGAGGATTTGAGTGACTCTTGCAAATCTTTTATCCATGAACGATCCATTATCTGTATTGTTGGCTACGAATTGATTCATAGGATCCAAACCCGTGTAAAACTTCTCCAACAAAATATTTTTTGTAAACCCGTGATTTGGTGATTTCACCAAATACTGCTCGAATCTAGCCCATGCTTCGTGTAGTTGTTCCCCCGGTAATTGCTTGAAGAAGAAAATTTTGTCCCGAAGTTGGGATTTCTTGCTTTGTGGGAACTATTTAGCTAGGAAAACATGCACAAGTTCGGCCCAAGTGTGGATGGGAACCATTGCCTTGCCTCTCCTGCTAAAGAGTATTTGAACACCCTCAACCTTAGGGCATCATCCGAAACATGATTCTGCTTATGCATTGCACACACATCCAAATTTTTTTGAGGTGTTGTGTCGGATCATTGTCGGTGAAATTTCGGAAGAACCCCTCCTCCTTTAGCATTAGGATTAGACTATGTTCAACTTTGAAGGTAGCCATGTCAACTCTAGGAGGGGCAATGGCATTTATATCATCAATATAGTCATATATATATCCGCAAACATATTCTCCGGCTCGCCCATTCTTGCCTAGTGACACCAAACAAAACAAGCAAAGTGTGATGGAATAGAAAAAGGTGTAAAGTAAAGCAAACACTAGTTGGTAATTTCAAAACCGTATTCCCCGGAAACGACGCCAATTTTGATGACGTCCAAATCCACTCCTCAAAGAGTAAGTGAACACGGTCACATGCAATATAATATACCCAACTATGAGTCAAAGTCGAATTCCACAGAGAACAATATGTAGGTAATTAGGCAAGTAACAGAATTATCGCTTATTATGCTAAGCCAAACACTAAAAAGGGTTTTGAGAAAATGTTTATATCTAAATGCAAAAATCTAAACTAACCTAGAAAGCGAGTAAATGATCAATGGGTACAAGCATGGATACACGAGGAATTACTCTCAAGTAACTATTCAATGTATTTTACGATTTTACAAATATGAGTGAGTTTATGTTAATTAGCCTCGGATAATAATTCTATATTAGCTTCTTTAGAAGACTAACAAGACTTTCTAATTGAATTATTCCTAAAACAATTAAGAGATAAAGAGTACCCTATGTGGCCATAAGTAGTTCAATCCTATCCCTAGGTAGAATCTATAATGTGAGGGTTAACACCTCAACTTCTTGTTAATTAATCTTTCCCAACCCCAAATTAACTTTTTCAAGTTTTATTCGAAGTTAATGGTTCGAGTCCTAGGGTTAGCTAATCCCTTTGGAAATATTAAAGAACCAGAATAATTTAAAAAATAATTAACTCACTTCATAATTAATAAAAATCATTCAATACTTAAGCACAACAAGAGATTTAATCCTAATTTTAACAATAAATACTCCCGTAAACAAGTTTCATATATTGGAATAAATAGTACACACTTAAATATTCAATACAAATCAAGAAAATAAAGAAATGAGTAAAAATGGGTAAGAAATTCTCATACAAAGTCTTCAAATCTTCAAGTCCCAAGTGTATGTGCAAGAACCCTAGCTCCAAGCTCGTTTTTCTTAGTCAAGAAGACCAAATATTATCCAAAAATCCATTCCAAATTAGCTGGGTCGAGTATTAAATAGTCTGGGACAAAAAATTTTGAATTTCTAGAATTGCCAAGTTTTTTCGCCAATTTCTTCATCGCGTTCGTGATAATGCCTTCGTGTTCACGAAGGTTTGAATCCTGAAGCTTCGCGTTCGCTATCATTCCTTCGCGTTCGCGAAGGTTTTACTTCTGAAGCTTCACGTTTGCGATTCTCCTTAGCGTCCGCGAAGGGTAATTCACTGGGCAGAATTCCTGTGTTCATTTTAGCTCATTTTTTACTTGTTTTCAGTTGGTTTCTTCTCGATCACTTCTAAATCACATAAAACCTATAAAATTGAAGTAAACAAACTAGGAATCGGGTTTTGATTATTCTGATAGGTTCATATGATGATTTTGGACTTGTACGTATATTCAAATTTTGTTTCGGAGGTTCCTAGAAGAATTGGACACTATTTATCGAAAGTTGGCAATTTTAAGAACTTAAGAGTTTTTAAGTTTGACCAAGAGTTGACTTTGATGTTATTGGACTCCAATTGGTGTTCCGAGACTTTGAATAGGTCTATATCTTGAATTGAAATTGTGTGCAAAGTTTGAAAGTATTCCAAAGTGTTTAAGTGTGATTCGGATACTCTTTTGAAAGAATGAAGATTTAGAGAAATTCTATTCGGTTTGAGCCTCGATTCTTTGTTGTGATGTTCCCGTGGGTGTATTGAGGCTTTGGATAAGCTTGGATGATGTATTTGTACTGTTGGTATGATTGGATGGGGTCCCGAGGGGCTCGGGTGTGTTTCAGATCATTGAATGAGAAACTAGTTATGATAAAGATTTGAAGTTTGACCATGGTCAATATCGGATCAAGATAACCTATTTTCGGTATTTTGAGTGCGCGATCAGGTTCCTAGAGTATTTTATGATTGAAATGAAAATATGGTTAGTGTTCAGAAGGTTCAGAATGAGTTTTGGGTGCTAAAACAAAGATTTTCTTATTGTTGGTTTTTATCCTGGTGAAAATAATTACGAACATGCCATTATAATTTTTAAATTTCTTTTAAAACTTGAAAACATCATATCTCCCTTATTTTAAGGCTAAATTGGGTGATTCAAGAGGGTATCTTGAGTGTAATCTCGCAAGGATCGTGTTGGGCTTATCAAATGTAAGTTTATGCATCATCTATGACCGGAATCGAGCTGGACAGTGATGCATTTTTTTTCTTGTTTCAGAATTTAGTTACTTTTTCTCACAAGGTTTTGGAGCGAGGTTTTGGAGGGAATTTTTACTACTTGAATTGGGGTAAGTATTTTTGACTCGAATTTATTATTATTTCATGATTCCAACCTCGATTTTAGTGTTTGATTAATAATTTGAATTGGAGAAATTGGAAATTTTAGTAAAACCTTTCTAAAAATAATTGATGGTTTGAAGGCCGATTTGAGGTCGGAATTGAATAATTTTGGTATGATTAGACTCGTATTAGAATGGGTGTTCGGAATTTATGAGTTTTATTCGTTCCAAGGTGCGTGCTCGGTGTTGACTTTTTGGTTTTCATTAAAGATCGAAGCTTTATTATTTGAAATTATTACCTATGGCTTTTATTTATGATATTATGTTATTTTGGCTAGATTCGAGCCGTCCGGAATTGAAAAATTTATGATATTAAGTTATTTTGGCTAGATTAAGTTAAAATATCGATTTAGCTTCTTTGAGGTATTGTAACGACCCGATCGGTCGTTTTGAGCTCTAGCGCATCGTTCGACGGTTTGAGGCCTTGAGTAGCTTCACTTCAGGTATTATGACTTGTACGGGTAGTCATAATTCAATTTCGGTAAGTTCGGAATTGATTTGGGAAGAAAATTCTAATTTCGAAAGCTTTAAATTGGAAGAATTGACTAAGGTTGACTTTTGAGTAAACGACCTAGGAATCAGGATTTGAATGTTCCAACAGGTTCGTATGATGATTTTGTTCTTAGGAGCGTGTCCGAATGTTGATTTGGAGGTCCGTAGGTTATTTCGACGTCAATGGGCGAAAGTTGGAAATTGGATAACTTTTGGAAAGTTTGACCGGGAGTGGACTTTTTGATATCGGGGCCGGATTCCGATTTCGGCGTCGAATGTAGAAGTTTAAAGTTCTAAAGTTCTTTAATCTCGAATTGGGGTGCGATTCGTGATTTTAGCGCTGTTTGATGTGATTTGAAGGCTCGACTAAGTTTGTATTATTTTTTAGGACTGGTTGGTATATTTGGTCGAGGTCGCAGGGGGCCTCGGGTTGATTCCGGATGGTTAACGGATCAAAAGTTAAATTTGTGAGATTGCTGAATGCTGGGCTCAACTGGTGTAACCCACCCTACGGAGCTTTGATCGTAGGTGCGGGATGTGTTACGCAGATGTGGAGAAATGGACTGGGGACTGTGGAGCGCAGATGCGGCATGAATTTCGCAGATGCGGAGTCGCACCTGTGCTTGGAGGGTCACAGAAGAGGAAGTAGGGGTGATGAGGTTGATTCACAGAAGCGGGTTAGTTCGCGCAGATGCGCGCCCGCAGAAGCGAGGACCAGACCGCAAAAGCGGTTGGGCGGCTTAGTGGCCTCCGCAGATGTGAAAGACAGACTGCAAATGCGGTGCCGCAGAAGCGGTTGACTGGCTGCAGAAGCAAAAAGTGATGGCCTTGGGGGAAGCCACATCTGCGAGGAAGTTTCCGCAGAATCGGAGCCGTAGAAGCGACTACAGTTCCGCAGATGCGAAAAGGTCGCTGGGGCAGTGTTCTTTTAAGAACGGGATTTTGGCCCACTTTCTTTCATTTTCACTTGGATGGGCGATTTTTGGAGAGCTTCAAGGGGAGATTTTCATCATCTATTGCAAGGTAAGCTATTCCCACATATTGTGAATTAAATACTTGGATTATGTACGGATATTTACATGGGAATTAGTAAAAATTTGGGATTTTGGTAGAAAAATCTAGAAATCGGTATTTTTGAATTTTGACCACGAAATTGGACATGGAATTTGGAATAAATTGTATATTCGAGTTAGTAATGTTATGGGTAAAGTTTATTTTAGAAAACTTTTGGAATCCGGGCACGTGGGCTCGAGGGTTGATTTTAAAGACTTTTCGAGTGGAGTTGGAAAATTGTTTAAAATGATTAGTTATGGATAATAGAAGATATTTTGACTGGTTTGCACGTTGTTTGAATAGTTTTGGATCGACGAGCTTTGGTTTAAGGTGTTAGAGAGGCCTTGGAGCCGGTTATGAAACTTCGGAGCGAGGTAAGTCTCCTGTCTAACTTTGTGAAGGAGAAACTACCTCTAGGTGATGTAATTATTATGTGCTACTTGTTGCGGGGGCTACGTACCCACGAGGTGACGAGAGTCCGTATGTAGCTAGATTAATGTTATGTTCGGGTAGACTTAGGTTCCCTCCATGCTATAATTGTACTACTTGAGTTATCTCTCGCCTATTAAATTCCTTTATTTTACGTTGCGACTTGATACTAGACTTGCGTAGAGTGATGGACTTGATATGGTAGAGATTCAACAGGCTTCATGGTTAGCCGCGAAATGATTGTACTCCTTTTACGAAATTCTTCCGTGTATCGCGTTTCACCGAAAGGTTTTCCCTTAATATATATAAACTCATATGTCTATTCGTGAATGGGGTCAAGGACCCATTAAAGCTTCCTATTCTAATGGGATCGAGCCATTCGCCTTCGGCATGATACATACATCTATGGTTCGTGCCATTCGACCCTCGACAGTGTGCACACTATGTTGGATCGGGCCGTATGCCATGACATGATTTATGTACCATACTCTCATGGGAGCGGGCCATTCTCCTCGGCAATAAAATAGATGTATCTATGGTGTGGAAATGTTATGATAGATTGGGCCGTACGCCTCGGCATTTCTATAAAAAACTCTTATGAAATCGTGCGTAATAATTGGCAAGAAGCCAGCATATCTGTGAGCTTTTCCTGATTGACTATGACGACCTATCTGGTAAGGTCCATTATATATATATACTCTGATTGAAGAGGTAGTCACTAGCTGAGAGTCTGAGTTATTGCCGAGAGGAGGATTGTACCACATATTATACTTGGTACTTCGTTTATCTTCTATGATTCACATCTTTTAACTTCTACTGTATCTGTCTTATTGGATCACTAGTAAGTGTCGATGTCGACCCCTCGTCACTACTTCTCTGGGTTTAGGCTAGTTACTTATTGGGTACGCATTGATTTACGTACTCATACTACACTTGCTGCACTTTTTGTGCAGGTACACATATGTCCGGTGGTCTTTGGGCACAGAGGCATGTCCATTTCTGGGACTTTACCGTGAGCTGCATCTCATGTTACGATCCGCAGCATGTAGAGTCTCCATCAGAGTTATTTATATTTTGCTGTCTAACTTGTATTCCAAACAGATGTTGTATTTTATTTTATTTCCTAGTTCATGCTCATGCACTTGTGACACCGAGTTTTGGGGGTTTCCTTTAGGTTATTCATTATTGTGGATCGTGTAAATATTTTTGTTTACTCTGTAAATTCTCTTTATACTATTCAATTAAGGAAAATAATGATTTCAGAATACTAAAATGAGTAATTTAAATTGACTAAACACTGTTGGCTTGCCTGACGGCGGTGTTAGGCGCCATCACGACCACTAGTAGATTTTGGGCCGTGATAGCTTGGTATTAGAGCATTAGGTTCACTTGGTCTCACGATTCATGAGCAACTCTAGTAGAGTCTTGCGAATTGGTACATAGACGTCTGTACTTATCTTCGTGAGGCTATAGTGTTGTTAGGAGAACTCCCCTTCTTGATTCCTCATCATGCGATTTGATTTCTTTGAGGCTTATACCTTTATTTCCTTCATACTCATTCTTATACGATGTTGAGCGCTCGTGTCGATTGGGCATCGAGGAGTTGTAGTGGTACTACAAACATGGGGCGAGATGTTTCTCCCTGCTCATTCGAGCAAGTTATTATCGTCTTCTTGCGGAATGATGTTCTGTTATTTCAGCTCAGTAGCTGTATTTTCGATGGTTTTGAGGCTATGCACAAGTTGCTATGATGTTCATGAGTTGTTATCGCACAACACCGATGTAATGGTAGGGTGCTCATTTATGCGTCGACGTAGTGAATGACTTGAAAGGAGGATTTCTCAGTGCATGATTTAGGGGTCTAATGTTTGATTCCGGCAAAGGAAAGGCAATCGGACTATGAATGTTCAGGTTTGGGTTGATGGAGTAACGAGACTTAGTACCTT